CCCCCCCCCGGTTTGGTGACTCAGTAAGAGGACTCAACTCAGCACATAATCATACTCGTGGCTAAGAGTTACCATAGCAAAGGGATACAAAGTAAAACCAGCAAAGGGAGAAGGTGCATGGGGTGAAGTCCACAGGGAACCAGGCACAGGCTTCCAGAAGTCCTCTCACAGAACACATGTATTTCCTCTAGCAAGTTGTAACAACACTGCTCCCCCATCTCCTTCTCCAGCATTTAAGCTATTTCCTGACCTCAAGCCCTTTGCTCATGCTGTTCCCTCTGCCCAGAACCCTCTCTTCCCCAGTGTTCCATGGCTGATTTCTCATAAGTCCACCTCTTCAGAAAGCTTTCTTCAGACCACCTGGTCTAAAACTAGCCCTCCCAACTGGCACTCCCTCTGCCTTCTTACCTTTTCTTTTTCCTTGTAGCACACACCACCTTGTTTTGCTTATTACCTTTCTCCATATTGTGCACTAAAGTTTGAGAAATACTGGTTTTCGGGATCAACTTGAAAGCCCATATGCCTGTGGGGGCCAAGCACGTCACACAAATGCACAAATGCCTTTAGGTCAAGATCACCTCCTGATCTGCCACAGGCCCCATTAACATGTTCGCACAAAATTCCTGGTCCCTGTTTTTTCAACCCTTGGCTTCAGCCTTTGTTTCGAAACTTTAAGTTCTGACAGAATCTCCTGGAGGGCTTGTTAAAAGACAGTGTGCTGGGCTCCGCTCCCAGAATTTCTGATTCTGTAGATCTGGGATGGAGCCTCAGAATATTCACTCCTAACATGTTCCTAAGCGTACTGGTTTCCTGTGACTGCTTTCAAAAATGGCCACAAACTTGGTGGCTTAAAACAACAAATTTCTTCTCACAGAGTTCTGGAGGTCAGAAACCCAAAATCAGTATCACTGGGTCCAAATCAAGATGTCAGCAAGGATATAATCTGGAGGCTTTCAGTGATGATCCTCTGTTGCCTCCTCAGCTTCTGGTGTTCCTTGGCTTGTGGCTGAATCATTCCAGTCTTCAAATCTTGTGTGCACGCATGTGCATGTGTGTGCATGTGTGTGTGTGAAATCTCATTCTGCCTCCTTATAAGGATATATTAATGGCATTTAAGGCCCACCCAGGTAATCCCTCCATCTCAAAATCCTTAATCAGATCTGAAAAGCCACCTTCTCCAAATAAGGTAACATTTACAGGTTCCAGGGATTAGGAACTGGTCTCTTTGGGGGCCATCACTTGTCTGCTATACCAGGTAATGGGGTACTGCTGGTCCAGGGACCACACATCGAGAAACACTGCCTTAAACCCATGGGCTCGGTAACAGCACGGCTTGGGAGTCACACAGCCTGACTTTGACTTAGTTATGACACCACCAGTTTCTAGCTGGCCCTCTTGAGCAAGTGACTGCCTCTTCCAACCTATTCAACTCTGTGTCCCTACCTGGTCAAGGCATGAGGGTTAGAAACCAGCAGAGGATCTGGCCCCTAGTGAGTCAGATGCCCCAAAATGGGGCCTACGGAGCAGACATGGCCTGCAAATGTTCTCTGTTCCTGAGTGGGTTTTTTAAAATTAGCTGTCCCCATTAAAATATTGGGAGATGTCACATACAAATTGAGCATTCCAGCTCAATTTTGATTTCTTGAGAAATCAAAAGATTCTGTAACAGGAGGTTCTTTGTTTAGGGTTATCCCCCTTCCTCCTCATGACATTGCCCATCCTGCCCCCTGGCTCCCTTACGTGCGCCTCATGGAGGTTCTTTGCCGCTCAGGTTGCTTCTTCTCTTTATTCCTGTTCCAAGCCTATCTTTTTACCTGAGAGGCTGAAGTGGGTGAGGTGCCAGGCAGTGGGTCCTGTACTTCCTTCCTCCTCCAAGATCCCACCTGTAGGAGACCTAATTATGGCCTGGGCGCCAGCACTGAACTCAGAGCTTCCCAACTGCAAGCGTCAGGGGAAGGAGAGATTCGAAGCCGAGGTGGGGGCACGCTTGACCCCACTGAGGTGGCATTCGTAAGTCTCTGTGTGGGCGCACACACGCACACACACCTACCCTTACTGCTAGGCATCTCTGAATTTCCTGGGGAGAGAGTCCCAGGCTCTTATCAAGAGCATCTCTGGCCCCCAACTGCTTCTGGAAGTCTGGGGTTTGGTTGGCTTGAAGGCATGCAATGGGGGCAACACCAAAGTGACCCCATTCCTGGGATGCTGGCTTTCCTTTTTTATATGAGAACTATAACAGAAAAAAGAAAAACCCTACACAAGGAAACCCACAACTGCAACAGTATTATAGGAATGGCTGAGGAAAACCTGTGACCTGATGAGAAGAAAAGTATAAAACCCTCATCAATACATGAGTTTGAATACATGAAAGGACATGAAACAATGTTAATTCTTTCTGATTTATTTATAGTTTACTAGTCACCAAAAGGCTGTTTTTAATTGATAAACATAAGTGTTCATCTGGAAGAATAACAATTATATATTTTTCATATAAAATACATATAAATACACTTTAAGGCACAGTAATAGAAAACTCAACTATAAGGCTATAAAGAAGAGTACAGATCTAAGATACAATAGGGCAACAAGCAAATGAAACAAAGTAGATGGTCCAGATACTAGATTCCGTACTATACAACAATATGACTATGAATCATTTACTGATAACTGATGTTGAGGCAATTTACAATGGGTAATTTTGATCTTCTCTTCATGTAATATACCAAAGGGAATTCAAGAGTAGTTAAAGGAGACTTAAAGTGAGGGGTGCCTGGGTGGCTCAGTCGGTTAAGTGGGCAACTCTTAATTTTGGCTCAGGTCATGAGCTCAGTTCATGAGTTCGAGCGCCACACTGGGCTCTGCGCTGACAGCATGGAGCCTGCTTGGGATTCTCTCTCTTTCCCCCTCTGCTTCTCCCCTGCTCGAATAAACTTTCTCTCTCAAAATAAGTAAATAAACATTAAAATAAAATAAAATTATGAGGGGTGCCCGGGTGGCTCAGTTGCTTGAGTGTCTGACTTAAGCTCAGGTCATGATCTGGTCTGTGGGTTCAAGTCTCACGTTGGGCTCTGTGCTGACAGCTCAGAGCCTGGGGCCTGCTTTGGATTTTGTCTGTCCCTCTCTCTCTGCTCCTCCCCTGCTCATGTGGTCTCTACCTCTCAAAAATAAATAAACATTAAAAAAAAACTAAATAAATGCAATAAAAATTGGATGCCCTTTCCCCTATTAAATTAACAAAGTGAAAAATGCTGTTAATACATAATGCCAACAAGGATGTGTGGGACAAACACATTACAGGCAGCAGCGCAAACTGGTGTAATGTTTTCAAAGGAGCTTGGATGCATCAAGAACCTTTAAACGATCATAGCCCTCCTGACCCAGTGATTCCCCTTTGGCAAAACCTATCTGAAGGAAAGAATCCTAAGTTTGGGAAAACATTTCAAGCACCAAAATGCTCATTACGGTATCATTTGCAATTATGAAAAATCAGAACTAAGTCAAACAAGCAGACAACACAGGGAAGGCCCCACATAGAAAGCTCTGGTGTGGCTATTAATGAGGTGATAACAGACAAGGGGGTGAAAAAGCAGGGTGTGGGTGTAGGACTGGATGGAAATAAGATCCGCTATTGCATGCATGGAGTGAGCACAGCTCTATGAAAACTTTAAACACCTTACAATAGGTAATACAGTCACACGGGTAGAAACGGCAGAGGTGCTGTGAAAACCAGACCTTTCCCCACTGCTCTCCAGGGGCAACCATTTTCATGAATCTAGTTATCATTTTTAAATTATAAGAAAAAGGTGTTCATGGTGCTTGGCGGGGGGTGCACAGAGGGAGGAGAACTCTACCTTTCTAAGAAATACAAATTGTCTTTTTTTTTAATGTTTATTTATTTTTGAGAGAGAGAGCAAGCAGGGGAGAGGCAGCGAGAGAGGGACAGAGGATCCAAAGCAGGCTCTGCGCTGACAGCAGTGAGCCCAGTGCGGGGCTTGAACTCAGGAACCATGAGATATGACCTGAGCCAGAATCAGACGCTCTACCAACAGGGCCCACCCAGGTACCGCAAAATACAAATTGTCTTTAATGAGCCAAGTATTACTTTAAAATGGAAAACATTAACCCTTCAGAAGTGCACACTTCAAAAAAAGAAAAGTGAGTTCAGGCAAATCAATAAGAAAATGCATGAAGACCCAACAGCTAAGTAGGTACAGAGCCTCAACTGTTCACAAAGAAATTTAAAAAAACATACGGGGAAAAATTCATTAGTAAGCAAAGACTCACTACTTTGGCTTATCAAATAGGCAGACTTTTTTGTTGGTGTGTTTTAAATGAGTTATCCACCAGCTACTGGGAAAGCTGTTCAAATGCTTATTTACACCAGGTGCGGCAAAGACATTCCTTTGCACATACAAACTTTGCTCAGTTGGCCTTGTCTGCCTGGAGTGAAAGACTCTCCCAGTGCAGTGGACACAGAGCATAAGTGATAAGCAGCACCTGTCAGTGACTCAGGAGGGAGGACGGTTGTCACTTATTTCCCACCCATGGACCTCCTGGCCTCCCTCTGCTACAAATGGCATTGCCCCTCCAGACACAAATTCATCAGGCTCTTTCCCCAGAGCCACAGAAATGTTCGTCACATCTCATCTAGTAATATCACTTCTTTGAAATCTAAGAAAACTATAAATACAATGCTTTATGT